CACCAATACTGATTATCGGTCAATCACTAACCAACTGTTCTATAACTCTAGACACACCTTGACTCCACATGAAGCGATCCCGACCACATTCAACCACTGTTCCAGTCGTGGATATTGGTGGTAGTCAAAATAACTTGTACACTGCGCTTCGATCTGCTGACGAGCCTCAAGCATACGAGAGAACAACTTCACAAGCTTTGCCTGAGATTGAAAACCAAAAAGAACATTCTTAGTAATACAAAATGTTTCTTTGCGGGAGGGTAGGGGTGGGGAGCTCTTTTTTATAGATATTACATTTTACATTCCATTATTTTCTGGATTTAAGGATGGCCTGAGCCCCCATCTTGTATGCAGGTATTACCCATTGAGCATCGCTGCGCTCTCCCCTTGACAAGTAAAATTGTCTGGCATTGGACAGAGTAAAATAATAATTTATAAAGTAGGGCACATTACGATTAGCACAAATTTACATGTGGAAATGATCATTATTAATGCGCCTTACATCAAGTATTATACACTTACCTAATTACATTCTTAGTTTATATATAGATCATTTCATTTTTACAACAATTGTGATATTACTTTCTAAACTGTGTTTATCCTAACCCACCCTTTCAACTTTCCCTGTGGGAGGAAACTGGAGCTGCCCAGAGAAAACCCCCGACATTCGGCAGAGCGTTGACTGGCTCTAAATTTCACAATGAGTAAAAAAATAGTGAGAATCGAACCCACATACTCCATAGTTGCATTGCCCATGGGACCCACACATTTGAATGTCACCTCATGGCTGTCCCACGCATAGGAAAATCCCATGCTTTTTGTAATCTTTGCTCTATTTCTCATGCATTTTGAAAAGTACATTTCAAATCACGAATACAGAATGGATTTTATTTGGTATCTCCTCCAACAATCCAAATCACCTGTACAGAGCTGCTACAGATTCAGATTTAAAGTAGCAAGGCTAGTTCTTATTACACCCCATTAATTCAAATGCTGGAATTGAAAGAGTTTTTTCGTTGGTATAAAACAAGAATAAATCAGAAGGTTCTGACCGAAAAAGACTGGACATTGAAAGATCACTTTCTTCTATTCTGGTACAGGGATGGATCCAGCATGATCTGGTAGGGGGGAGGGGGGTGCTCTGCCAGCTCTGGTGCCGAGTTGTGTCGGTCATGTGTGCCGCCCGCCCATCAACTTGCTTCACTACAGCAAAGTCTTGCTTGACTACTGTATTTGAATTGTAATTGTTGTTCACGGTTTGCTTATCATCATTTGTCTCTGATAATTTTTTGCTTTATCATGAAAAATAGCACCCCCCTGCACCCTCTCTGGCCAGGGCTAGGGAGTGCACCCCCCCCCCCCCCCCCC